GTGTGTGTGTGTGTTGTTTCTATGTTGTTGTAAATACTGTACGTATTGTTTTAATCCAATGATATTTGTATGGATTGGAGATGAATAACACTCTTAACATTTTAGATAACTTAGACTATTGCAGAAAAATAAAGAGGAAAAATAAAGAGATCGCTTGGTAATTCAACTGTCACAGAAACCTTCAAATAACGTATCAATGCAATATTCTACAGAACCATCTGCCCAGATTTTTTTCTGGGACAGGTACCTTGGACACCTAATGATCATTGGCAGAATTTTGGAGACTGGTTGAAGGATCGAGATCCCACAAAAGTGGACAAGTAAGATTAGTATTTATTTAAAAGTAAATGCAACTGATATGTGTCTGATTAGGAAAGCATGTTAATTAAGCAAAGCCAGAAAGATATTCTTAATGGAAGGGCAAGCAAAGAGCGGGGGAGAGAAGACTGCAGCCTTGATACCCTTTAAGAAAATATATGCATTAGCTTCACAACAGTGAAAGAAGGATCAATGTTTTTGCATCTTTAGGATTTTTTTTGTTTATATTGGATTCAGCAAAGCATACATACTTGCATACCATCATACAACTTCTTTTCAGACTAAACAACCTTGCCGTGGGCAGGGGGTTGGACTAGTAGACCTCCAAGATCCCTTCCAGCCTTCCATGCTTTTGATTCAAATGCAGACCAGTTGCTGAGCACCTTAGATGAAGCACCGAAAAAGATTAAGTAGTAGTAGAAAGGAAATAAATTAAGGGAAGAGAAAAGGAATTATAAACCTAATTTATACCAATACAATTCACTCTAACAATACACCTCACTCTATCTTTACAAACTATCTTTGCTTCCACCATATCTGTATACCAGTTTCTACATTACGTTTTGTTATTTAAACTTCTCAATTTTTCTTGTTCAGGATCTCATTGATTGCATTCAACCATGATTTTCTGTGCTTTTCTCCTTTACCTTGGCCGATTCATTCTTTCTTCATTTATCTATTTTGTAATTTTGATCATTTTAATTATCTAACCAAACTACTTCAGTGTATTATACACAATGGAAGCCAGAATTTCCCAAGACAGGAATGTCAGTTACAAGCTGACATTTGAACATTTGAGACATGGAAGAAAAATTACCATTAAGCTATAGAAAAGGAGGAAAGAAACAATGACTTATGCTACATATAAGAAAGGACTCACTCTCATGTTGTTAAAATACAATCAACTGCTTTAAACAGATTTATTCTTCTTTGCACTGAAGATTTTTATCTCACTCTGCAATATTGAGAATACACAAAAGAATGGGTACCACATAGAACCAAGCACTGCATGTAAAAACATGTCTTGTTCTATTTTCTCATCCTTAATAAACATTCTATTATGGTTGGGGTTACTTGCTCTAATGATTCACCATTTCTTTGTAGCTTATGATAATTTACTCCATTTTCATTGTCAAACACTAACAACTTGGACTTAAATATATTTTCAGATCCATCATACTTCTAACATTAACTTGCCATTCTTCTGAGAGGTCAGTCAACACAGATTCATTCATATTCATTCATCTCTAACACCTCTAACATCAGAACAAACATCCATTCATGCATAAGTGGGTTAAACAGGCAAAGGGATATACACATCCTTGTTTTATTCCATGTTCAATATTCATCCGTTCACTAAGTATTCCATTTAGTCTCACATATGGTCTTCTATCACATAGCACTCTTACCATGTTTAACAACCAATCTTCAATTCCCTCTCCTCACGAAATGTCCCATTATTCAATCTATTCATTTTATAATATACTTTCTCTAAACCACCAATATATAATAAATGTTGATATTTATACATGTCTCAATAGGCTGCCGAGAAACAAAATCTCTACATTTCTTTCCTGGTATAAGAAATGTATACAGTGTTTCTCAGAGTCTTCTTTTGTCACCACTTATGCACTTTCAGTCAGAAATTTGCCAAATGCTCTGCCATGCACACTTAATAAACTAATCCCCCAGTAGATTTTACACTTTTTTTCCTTTTCTGCTTGTATGCAATCTTCACTTTAAATAAGTTACACAACTGCTCTTTGATATGCCACCCACGCCTAAAGCATTCAACGTTCTCTCAACAATTATGAGATCGTTTTTATCATTATTCAACATCAACATTTAAAGTTCTTATTTCAGTTTTGGAAGATATAACTATCATTTCTGTACACATTTCTTCAATATTTCTCCCATTGCTTTTCTTATTTAGCCACTCAGCTACAAATCTCTTGTTCATCTGCTTCCAAAATATTTTCCTACTGTGCATTTTCTACATCAGCAGGATTGGTTAGGTTAGTATTGACATCTGCTGTGACCTAATGTGTGAATGGTGCTTTATTATCTATCTAAGATTGCATATATAAGGGAAATGAAAATATATCACACACTATAAATTTTTAGTGTTACTGTTGTGCTGCAAGTTACATCTAGACTTGTAGATCAGAGTTCTCCAACCTTTCCGGGTTGGTGGCCCGGAGGGAGGAGAGGTGGGAAAGAGAGAATAGTTTTGTGGGAAGGGTAGGTTGCTCACATGAGTGGGGTTGAGAGCACCCATGACACTTATGTGAGGCCTGCACGAGTTGGGCTCCGAGGGCCTGAGACTCTCATGAGTGGGGCTGTGCGTGGGCATGCACAGGCATCCACCAAACAACCACTTATGCGGCCCGGTTGCGAATAGGCCACAGACCAGTAGTGGGCTGTGGATCACAGGTTGGGGACCCCTGTTTACTTTACATATCTCTGTGACGCTGTACCATTTTTACTGGTGAACTGTACAACCTAACTACGTGATTGGGTGAAGGATGATGCAAGCCATGTTTTCATGTAAAAACAAATGACATCTAAATTATATAACCACACATACAGGTAGTCCTCGATGTATGACCATAATTGAGCCTAAACCTTCTGTTACTAAGTGAGACATTTGTTAAGTGAACTTTGCTCCATTTTATGACCTTTCTTGCCACAGTTGTTAAGTGAATCACTGCAGGTGTTAATAACACAGTTGTTAAGTGAATCTGGCTTTCCCATTGACTTTGCTTGTCAGAAGGTCGCAAAAAGTGATCACATAACCCCAGGACACTGCAACCATCATAAATATGAGTCAGTTGCCAAGCATCTGAATTTTGATCACGTGACCATGGGGAGGCTGCAACAGTCATAAGTGTGAAAAATGGTCACAATGCACTTTTTTCACTTTTTCCACTACACAAACTTTGTAAGTTGATGTCTACCTGTATTGCATTGTTTTGAATGTAGGAAAACAAAACAGATATTGTAGTCCCATTTCTCTTCTTACCTTCTTCCTCCTTTCTTGTTTGCATATACAGTATATTCACTTAATGGCTTTTTTTAAACCTAGAGTGATTTTAAATCTCTCTCTCTGTTGTTAAAATGCTTATACTTAATGCAACAGAATCACCAAAATGAGCATCCCCTAAAACCTCACTATGCAAGTTAAAAGTAGGCATCTTTATAAAGATTTAAAATAGTACCGGCATTTTTAATTTTTTTTTTTTAAATAAATTTTATTGGAAGTTCAAAAATATACGTCATATTCTTAACTTTTTGATATGTCCGTAATAGTAAAACAATAGTTCAGTACTTTGGCTTATCAAACAATGGATTTTATCAGACATCTTTTCAAATAAATCTGTGGACCAGAATGCTGCCAATTGTGTTTATTGAAAAACACCTTTCTTGGATACTTTGCATTTTTTTAAAATTCCTTTAGAATGGAATGGAATTCAGTGGAGATGAGCAGTTAATGATAGCTAAAAGTAGCAGGTTGGGGCATGAGCAAGGCATTTCATAATATACCATCTTCAACTCGAATTAAGACATATTCCAGTACCAAGGCACCTATCCTTGCTGTTTGGCTCTCTGAACATGAAGATTTTGGAAACTTTCCGAAGTAAAGGACAATTTAAAAGAACAGTTTAAAAAAACTGAATTTTTATAGAAGTGATTGAACAGGGCAGAAGGATAATAAGGCTCCAACATTCTATTGTAGTTGTGCAGGTTATAAAATTTCAATTAATGTGGGTTTCAGCTTTCTAGAATATGATAAAGTATTTGTCATTGGTGCATTTATTTGTAAATGAGTACCAAATACAACAATAGGTTGTTCACAACTGGGATTTAATTTCAGGAAATCCATTCTAAGGACTTGGTAATGTATTGTTGTCCTCATAAGAAACCAGCACCTGAGTGGATAATGTTTTACAAGAAATGTTTTTAATAAGTAGGGAAGATACATTTTGATAACCGTGGTGTTTGTTAACTCCATTTTTGTTTATGCATCTCATTTTTTTTTTTTAGGACAGTTGATACGGTCTTGAACTATTTAAAAGAGCAGTATAATGCAATCACGATTGGTATTGTTGGATTTTCCTGGGGTGGAATGGCTGTACATCATGTGATGCTAACAAATCCTGAATTGAAGGCTGGAGTCTCCCTCTATGGTAACGAAGGATGCTTATTAATTCTTCAGTTTCTAAATATTTGAACAGTATTAAATTGTTGTTTGTAAGGATCAACTGTACTATGTAAGATCTTTTACAAGCTGAATGCTCTGTTTTTCTCTCTCACACAAACAAGGGGCATATCTGTGTTGTCTAACTGCCCCATTACCAGACAGGCACACAATTTCTTCTGGAAGGCAAAAATGGATGTTATCACCCTATCCACTGTCCAAGACCTCAGGTTGCATTTTTCTGCTATATTTCACTTTTGAAGTACACATTTGTATATTATGTCACCTTTAAGCTTTTATCCATTTCAAATAACCTGCTTCAGTTTGTTCCTGAGTAACTGTTGCAATTTGTAGGACAGTTCCCAGAGGAAAGAATGCTCTTTCAGCGGAGTCATTGGAGCTGCCTGCTAATGTTTTTTAAAGCTCCTTTAAAAAAAACATGGGTTCTGACATAGCGTAATGGCTCTAACTCTTGCCTTACAAATAGAAGATTGTTTATTTAAAATCAGCAGAAATGCTTTTTAAAAAAACAATACTATTTTCTATTCTACTATTTTCTGTGCTTCCTACTTTTTCTTGTATGTTTTTGTAAAGGAGTAAACTGTTTTTGTTCCTGGGAAGAAGGAAAGATTTTATTGCTTCTGTCATTTCCACTTTTCTCAGAAAAACTTAAGAAAATTCAGTAAGATGAAAAAAATATATTCCTGTTTTATTATTAAATATATACAACATAATCTTATGCATGTTTACTTCTCCTTATCCCCAATAATCATACAGGTAGTCCTCAGCCTATGACCACAAATGTTGCTAAGCAAGATAGTTGTTAAGTGAGTTTTGCCCCATTTTAGGATCTTTCTTGCCACAGTTGTTAAGTGAATCGCTGCAGTTGTTAAGTTAGTAACACGGTTATTAATTGAATCTGACTTCCCCACTGACTTTGCTTGTCAGAAGTTCACAAAAGGTGATCCCATGACCCTGGAACACTACAACCATCATAAATAAGAGTCAGTTGCCAAGCATCCAAATTTTGATCACATGACCATGGGGATGCTGTAACGCTCATAACTGGGAAAAACAGACAAAAATCACTTTTTTCAGTGCTGTTGTAACTTTGAATGGTCACTAAATGAATGGTTGAAAGTCAAGGACTAGCTATATATACTGTAAGTAGGATATTCTCTTGGGTTGTCTCACTGTTTTTCAAGGGTACTGAAGTTGAAAGTCTTCAACCCAAGCTCTCAAAAACCTGCATAGCCCCTTAACCCAACAACACATGTGCATGCACGCGCGCACGCACACACACATATAGATATTCAGAAAGACCCACCCATTAGCAAGTGCTTTTCTGAAATATAAAAGCAAGAGGGCACAGCAGCAAAGGACTGGTATAGTTAGGGAATATAATTTAGATTACCATCGTGTCAAGCCAGCATAAGCACAGATATGCCTAAGGGAATATCCTACTGTATGTGTGTTTATCTGAGAGAAGGGGATATTTCTTTTCAAAAAGTGGAAATAACAGAAGCAGTCTTATGGCAAGTAACAAAAATAGTTTATTCGATTTACCTCAATGTAATGCTATTATAATAATTTTTCATCTATTTATGCCAAAAATATGAACAGCTTCTTGCCGATCACCCCTGGCAAATAAAAATACTAGCAGATAGTCAGATAGGAAAGCTTAATAACAGTGGTTTATTTCATCATTATATCATAAGTGACAAATATAGCTAGGTAAGTAAACATGGTGGCTGAAATTATTAATTTTTTGTAGATTCAATTACAAGACTGAGTATCATCATATTTGCATAGTACACTCTGCTTCTTTAGTCTTTAGACTGTTCCATAGATGGTTTGATTTGTGAAGAGTGTATGCCCTTTAGAAACCCAATATATGCCCCAAAGTCATGTTCCTCAAATAATTGCGGAAACAATCTTCTGAAGGCCCAAAGTTTAATTTTTTTTTTTTGTACATATCAAGCTGGTGCAGGTTTGCAATCCTGAAAGGGAACTGGTATCTTGGATGTACTGCAGAGAAAATAATACATTTTTTAATAGGACTATGGCAGGTGATCTATATAATTTAGTACATTCTAGGAATTGGGACACACCTGTAATCATAGAAACTACAGGAATTGACTGTCACTAAATGTTGTTTTCAAAGTCAATAAATAAAGTATATATAAGATGTCCTTGGCTCTGCAGCTCATATTGAAACTGTACCCACATAAATCACTGCAGAACCACCTGAGTCTCAAATAACATTTTACATTATTTATTATATTTTTCAATTATACTTTAAAATGTCTGCATCATCATAAAATAACATAACAGTTAAGGTCAATGGAGTATTTGTCCTCTAATTATATAGTTTGCCTTGAAAAAAAATGTAGTTTTAACGTAATTTCTCTTCTTTTAGGAATTATTAGAGATTCTGAAACTAGATATAATTTACTGAATCCTACTTTTTTCATTTTTGGCGAGAAAGATCACACCATTTCTCTTGAACAGGTAAACAATTATTTTCCGATTCTAAATAGCTTTATGACTGATATCTCTGCAATACACTTAGAGAATTAGTGGAAATGGGGTATAAGCGTTGCAGGGGATCCTTATTTTCATTTAAGGATCATTCTGAAAAATGAGTCTGCTCTTACTGTAGAATTACCAGTGGGAACATTTACCTAGCAGCAACTAAAGTGGTACTGGAGTCCCAACTGAAAACAACTGCTCATCCATTCTACATTGTGTTTATGTGGAAGAAGGGAATTCCTGCACAGAGGGAGAATCGTTTGAAATCAAATTCATATTTTCCTGTCCACAGGCTTTTCAGCAAGGATAATAATGAGTAGGGTTTTTTTTAATAGGAACAGGATTGTCAGTGACAAAATACATGCTTACAAGCAGAAGATAGCTAAAATGTGAGATTTTCCTAAAAACCTCTCCTGCAATACAAGGTGCAATTACTCCACAGCATTTATTCTACTCGTTGTGTGCTCAGAGGTATTAATTATACAATATCATTCTGTATATGCGCTCCTTTTCCAAGGATTGAAAATTCTTAGGCTGCCCATGCTTGCTGTTCAGAGTCTGGCTTGCTCGAAACAAACAGATTGAAAAAATTATAATGTTTCTGTGGTATAAAGTTTACTAGTAGTCCTCTGATTAGGATCACTCATTCAGCAACCATTCAAAGTTATGGCAGCACCAAACAAGGGGTACTAATGACTGTCCTCAAAATTGTGGGCATTTCAGCATCCCACAGTCACATGAATGCAATTTGGGCAATTGGCAACCAACTTGCAATTACCATGACTGCAGCATCCAGAGGCCACATGATCACCATTTGCAAGCTTCCCTCTTGGATTCCTACAAGCAAAGTCAATGAAGAACTGTTGCTTTTTCTCCCCAAAAGTTCCCAAGTAACATGGAGAATGGAGCCATAGTAGCACAGTGATTAGAATGCAGTATTGCAGGCTGACTCTGCCCACAGCCAGGAGTTCGATTCTGATCGGCTCAAGGTTGACTCAGCCTTTCATCCTTCCAAGGTTGGTAAAATGAGGACTCAGATTGTTGGAGGTAACATGCTGACATTTGTAAACTGCTTAGTGAGTGCTGTAAAGCATTGTGGAGCAGTAATAAGTCTAAGTGCTATTGCTACTCTGTAGTACCTGCCTGCCTACACTCTGTAGTGACCCACTTGATCCCCACACTCACTAGTGCTGGCTCAGAGCACCTATTTGCCTACCCAAGCTCTGCAGTGCCTGTCTGTGGTACTCATCCAGCCACAGGTACTCATCACACTCACCCACAGCACCTACCCATACTCCGTAGTGCCTGCCTGCCTACTTGACTGGGACATGGTTTCAGCATCTCTTCCCACAATACAATTATGTGAAGTCCTCATTTAAACCTATACAGTCCTTGCTTAACAATCTCCGCAGGACTGCCAGGATTGCTGATGTGAGATTGTGCTTTATAACCACATTGCTTAGCAGTTATAGTCCCAACTGCCACTGTAATCCAAGGACTATCTGTACTTATCATATAGACTGAGTCCAGAGTGTTGACGTTCCATCATCTTCCTGTTATACGCGGATCCAAAATGCCATAGGATTCTATCTACCTTTTTAAGTTCCAGCTCAGCCTGGCTTCTTGATACATATGTACCCCATACTTCCCAAGTGTTGGAAGAAGGAGAACCACTTCCTGGTTTCTTTTTAAAGCACAATCACTGCTATTCATCATATTTTCATTGCATGAGGGTCCCAAGCTGGCAATTTCATTTGAGGAATTAAATTTAAGAATTCCAAAGTTGACAGAGATCTTTTGGGGCATCTTGTCTAAATGCATTATCACCAGGTGCAGAAAGCATATCACTATTTGGATATGATTAAAAAAAGTCAGAGGTCATAAGATCAATGGTGTTTAAAGTACTATTGCTTAACTTCAGTTCAGGTAGCCTTGACTTTTAAGCAAAATTGTCAAAGAATCCAGGTTATATGCGAACAAATAATTTTAAAAGTGTAATGTTAACATTTACTGTAAATATGTAATATATTTTTTTCTGCTACAGATCTCTTTGCTGGAGAAAAAACTTACAGAATATTGTACAGTAAATTATAAAATTAAAGTATATCCTGGACAAGTTCATGGTTTTGCCCAGTGTAAGCCTGAAGACATGAAGCCTAAAGATGTGCCGTATGCTGAAGAAGCAAGAATGGATTTAATACAATGGTTGAACAGTTACATTATATATTAAAGCAATATATCCCATATTCCACAACTTCCACAACAAAATGTCCTTTATTTGTTTCAAAAAAAGTTATTGTAAAGATTGTAGGGATGCCTATTAGAATCTGAAGAAAGGAAAATGCATTTGAAAGATATGGCAATAATAACCATTAATAGATTCATTATCATATTACTCCATTACTCCTATGAAAAATTATATATACTTGAAGATCTTTCCTACGTTATATACTGTATTATTTTTGTGGAAAAATATTGAGTATTCAGCATTTATACACTTAGCTTTAGGTCTTATTCTATTACCATTATAATATCTGAGCTGCAAATATTCGATTTTCTCTATGTCTTTGCTTGTGCTCCTTGAAGACATACACTTTGTCCTTATAATCTTTCTTCCCTAAGTCCTGCTTTGTGGTAGTTAATCAATGATATCAGAAATATAATTATTTATCCTTGATGCAATATAAAGCATTGCATTCAAAGTTGGAGTCCATCTCAGATTAAAGTTTGTTTAATTCCAAGGCAATATGATTCGATAAATAATACAATCTTTTTTGAAGATGGAGGAGACAATTTTTTTAAAAAGGTGCAAAGTAAAAAATAAGCACTATTTAAAAAAAACACCAAAGGGATGTTTGTAATTTTCGCTCTCTCCAAATAATGGAAAGCTGAGAGTTTTAAAACTAAATTAGGAACACTTGAGCTGGTGATATAATTTGACCTAAAGCTTAAATAATATACTGTTTATCCAAGTAAAAATTATTTTCTCACACTGACTTTGAGAGTTTTTTTTACTACGTTATTAAGATAAGACCCAGACACCACATTGCTTATTAAGCACTTATGAACTGTAAACTTAAAAAAAAATAAAACATATTACAAAAAAGAGAGAATTTTTTTTCATTACCAGGCTGATGGAGGTATAAGCAGCAGTAAATTGTAGAAGTTCATTAAAAGTATGCAGAGATATGAGATATGATCTGACAGCCCATCAATGTAACTTAATCAAGTTCTAACTTTCATTTATTATTTTGCTTAAAAAAATATCTACTTGTTTGCAGCTTCAATGAAAATTATAAGGAAACATTTCACAAGTAATGTGTGAAAAAAAAACTAAGTAGCAATTAAATCAACCTTAACCATGGTGTGAATAGCCTACTTCCACCTATTTGTCTTCAGAAATGCAAATGCACATATTCCTGGTTGGCAGTTTGTATTCCAAGATATTCCTCACCCATCTAATTTCAGTGCAAATTATATTAAGATTTCCAAGAATCTCTCTTAATCAGGCATGCTTTCTAGAGCCAGCTGAATAGTCTTAGTGACCTGAGGAGAAGTAATTCAATGACTTTGAAGTGGGGCCCATTCAGCTACAGCTTTGATGGCTCTGTAGGCAGAGCTGCATCTGACAGAGAAGAGAACTTCGCAGCTCTGCCTACACAGCCACCAAAGCAGCAGGTGGAGCGCCATAGCTTGGGGAGGGAGGGCACTGAAGTGGGCAGTCGGGCCATTGGCAAGAGCAATGTCTGAGCGGAAAGCGGCCTTGGAACAAGTGGGGCAGGTAAGGAAAGAAATCCTCACTCCCCCTAGAAATTGCCTTTCTTTCCTTACCTGACTTCCAGCCCCGTGCCATTTCTCCTTCACAATCCCCCGCTGCCATCACGTGCAAGGAAATGAAGGTTTTTTTGGGGGAAAAATATCAATCAACCAATTCCAACTTCATCATCTTTCTCTTCTTTCACTGCCCCACTTGTTCTGAGGCCGCTTTCCGTTCAGACGTGTTGCTCTTGCCAATGGCCTGGTCGCCCACTTCAGCGTCCTCCCTCCCAGAGCCTCTGGTGCTTCACCTGCTGTTTTGGTCGGCCTGCCAGCTCCCACCTCAACACTCTGCCCATTGCTGCCCAGCATGGCCACCCCGGGGCTGCAGAGGCTGGCTTGGCATGGGAAGGGCACATTCCCCACCCTCCCGCCACCATGCAGAGTAAGATTGCCACGCCAGCCCCCGTCCAGATGCCCTCGCCTCCCTCAAGCATTTTTTTACTAACCTGCCTTTCAGCTGCATTCCATTTCTCCATTCACTTCTCAGCCTTTGCCACGTGTTTGTGGACTATCAGTTTAAAAAAAAAAAGTTCCATCAGACTTTCTAACTTCTTGAGATCTCACGAGAAGTTAAAAAGTCTGATAGAAGGTTTTTTTTAACCAATAGTCCCACAAACACACAGCGAAGGCTGAGAGGCGAACAGAGAAATGGAATGCAGCTGAAAGGCAGGTTAGTAAAAAAATGCTTGGGGAGGCGGGGGGGGCGTGGCAATCTTATCCTGTGTAGGTATGGACGCAGGTTGCTCATGGACGGGACTGAAGGCCTAGGACTGGGGCGACAGCGCGCGTGCCCACACGTGCCATAGGTTCGCCACCACGGTAATATACACAAGTAAATCTCCCTAATTTTATTCAGCCAGTTTTTATAAAGCTACTTTTATTCAAAAGATATTGTATATTAGAACATCTCAAATTTGGCTTCTAGCAATTATTTCAGAAGGCAAACACATGTAAGAATTAAACAGAACAGCACATGTAGGATTTGAGATTAAATCCCTGTTTAGGATGGAATCAAATGAGGCTTCTTTGGAATGGCTGTCCATTTCTCTTCGTTTGGAGGTATCTTGAAGAAGGATTTGTTACCAATAATGCATCCTTTCAAAATGAAGCAGCTTCCTGTTAATCTTTTGCCACCAAGGACAACTACCAGAGGTTATGAAAGCACAAATTGTGAGCTTCAGGCCAGAATGGAAAAAAACAGCCCACATATTCTTTGCCAGATGGAACTGAGCCCAGACATTGAAGCTGCAATGTCCAAAGCAATATTCATATTTATTTATATCTATATAAGGTTTGAGGATCCAGTGTATCAGGTATCCACAAGTGATCATATGACCAAAGCTCTGCTCTTTTTATACAGGACATACATTGCAATAAAATTTCAATTATGTGATCAGAACCATTGTCTTTTAAACTCACCTACCCGCTTGTATGGACATCCCCATGCATTTGCAAAGTGGCATTTTTGGGGGGAAATAATTAAAATAAGCATACTTTCCTTCCAGAGAATGCATGCCATGTATTTTGGTTTAAAATGTAAAGAAATGTAAAGAAAATAGAGGTCCTTTACAGCTTGGATGTTCTATCTGAACCACAGAATAATAGAGTTGGAAGGAACCTTGGAGGTCTTCTAGTCCAACTCCCTGCTCAATCAGGGAACCCTACCATTTCAGACAAGTGGCTTGTCCAGTCTCTTCTTAACAACCTTTAAAGTTATAAATTATTAGTTCAATATTAGTTCAATCAACCTTTAAGTTCTAATATGTGAATAATCGTTAAGAAAAAGTGATTGTATAATTGTAAAAGTTGATTGTATAACAGCTCAGATTTAAAATAAGACTGCAGTGTTATTTTAAAACCTGGCAACATCAAAATATTGACCATAGTTGTGACAAGCCAGTTTTTTTACTCAATGATTAACATGCACGACAGTGAGGAAACTATAGATTTCTGAATAAACTTCATTAATATTAACACAGTGTGGCATGCCATACAAAAAAGAACACAGCAACCATCCCACAAATGCAGTGGTTGCAGGAATTGAGCTACAATAACCTTATTTCCTCCCAGCAACTCCCCAAAGGCCTCAGCCCTGTCTTAAATCATCATCAAAACTCTTCTCAGGATACTCAGAAGTTTTACATCCCAAAATTGTGGTTTCTCCCCCAAAGCTGGGCTGAGGAATAAAGAACCTAATGATTCAAAAGGGTGTGAAATATAAAAGTATGTAATGCATGATAGCCTGAAGTTCATGCAGGAGGAGTTGTTGAAATCCTCCCCATTTGGGGGCTGAGTTATAGCCTGTCAACCTTTGAGCTCTTTTGTAATAAGCAAATCCTTTTGCTTCCTTTTCAGTGGAGCTGCACCAATCGTGGTGAAAGAAGCTGCACCATTCCACAGCAGCAAGCAGACTGCCTTGAACAAACCGTTTCCAGCCCTCTGAAGTTGGATTCAGCATTCTAGGTATGTTGGAATCAAATATGTTCCATTATGTTTTTTTCTGGAGAAAGGTTAAATAGGTAGCGGAAATGCTGATGCCTTACTTTTTCTGCCATATTGAAGAAAAGATAAACAAAAGGATATGGAAAAACTACAGGGGAATTAGTTTCTTAAGACTGCCCAGGAAGGTATTTGGCAGGATTCTGATCAAAAAGGTATGAGAGGTAACAATAAGCAAATTTGGGAAGTGCAATAGATTTCTGCTAGACAGGAAGTGTGCAGACTAGATTTGCTCTTTAGGAGATCATAACCAAATATATGGAAGGGAGAAAGAAAGTTGACTGTGGGTTGGAAGCATATTATAGTTTCACTTCTAGAATGTTTTGCACTGATGAGTGAAAGACAGCTGCTGAGTGCAGTCAGATATAGAATGTGAGTAAAGAGTATATGAGATAAACTGAATGCTTAAGGGACAGCTAAATTAAGGTCTGTGATATTGCCTTGATATTGTAATGTTTTATGGAGAACCATATAAAGATCCTTATTATGATAGAAATACATTAACAGCAGGTATAAATATTTTGGATATGGATGATGCCTTTTTACTGGTGAAGAGAGATTCCAAATCATTTACAGTGAATGTTAGATAAAATTCATGATACAGTGAGGACTATGGATTTGAAAGATAATATTACAAAGATCAAGAATGTGTGTGACGGGTAATAAAAAGAAAAATTGTTAAATACTCTGTTTGGTCGCGAATGATGACTCGACATGGCGAATTCAATAAGTCTTCCAATGCAAACACAAAACTGAGAGAACAGGCTCGCAGGCCTCTCTTAAAGCGATCAGAGACCCAGACTGCAACATACCAAAGTATCAGGCATTTTCATGCCTTGCGCATGCGCACAAGGCCAGCGCCACTCAGTCTGGTCCCAGGCAGCTTTTGGAATGCCCGGGACCATTGCAACATCCCGAACCTGCTTTTGCAGGCTCAGGACACAACACCCCTCCCCCCTAGATGGAACATGTCTGTGCACCCACATGCATTATCCCTTGGGGAGAGTGTTATAGATTCCAAAAATCAAATGCACTGAATGTGGACTACCTGAGGTTGCCTTCAAGCACAACCCCTTCAACCTGTTCCGGAATAAATGTATCCAAAATTAAATTAAAAAAAAAAAATCTCTTAACCATGGCCCTTGTGATCAGACCCCTTGGAACTTGACAGCAACTTCACAAATTCTCTAAGATATTTGAGTGGACACTTGGCCTGCTGTGACCTCCTAGGAGAGATTTCCTGGCCCCCTTGCTCACCTACCCGGCGAGACAGGCCAATTTGTGGCTGCTTTAAATTTTCTGGGGACCCCGGTGAGATTGCCTGGCCCCCCTGCTCACCTACCAGGCTAGGTAGGCCAGGGCTTTGCTGCCCCAAATACCCAATTGACCTGCCCATCTGCTGGCTGACTGGACCCTCTAAGCCCAAGCCAGCATACCTTGGAGGAGTGGTAGTCCCCAGTTCCACAATGGACCCTTCTTGGGAGCACTGTCCCTCAAACCCAAGGCCAGCAGATGGAGAGTGTTGAGTATTGGGAGTGCCCCAGTACTCTGTGGCCCCCAAGCACGTGCCCAAGGTGCCGGAATCAGGAGTCGCCTCCCTGGCTACCCCCTTCCCTGTTAACCTCCTTCTGGGAGCAATTGCGGAATTGTGCCATCGTCCCTGCTGGAGTTTTTGTTCTCTTGTAGTTTGTGAGTTGTGTGGATACCCATCAGTCTCCCTGTCTGGAGTACTGTCTGTCATGTGTGAATAATGTGGATACCCCTGGTGTGACTCCCTGTCTGGAGTACTTATGAATGTGTGGGATGACCTCTTATCCTGTGACATCCTGTTAGGAGCACTTGAAGAACCTTGGGATGAATCCTGACTAGCTTCAGCATGGGCTAAAGATGGCCTGTCAGGCCTCTGAAACTGACCCTCAGAATGCACATTATAGTCCCCTCCCAGAGAAGAGCCAGAAGTGGAAGGGTGAGAGTCCAGTCTCCAACACAGTTGGTCTATATGTCTGCGCAGAACGCGGCCGTCTCCCAAAGCGACTTCGTAGGAAAGCGGTCCCGAGACCTTGCAGACCACAGATGTGACCGAGAGATAACCAGGCCCGTAGTTCCGTGCCCAGACCGGATCACCCACTTGCAGTCTCCTCGGTGCCCGTGGTTGTGACACCTGTGAAGCCACCCGGTCTGAGTGCAGCCTGTCCAGCTTAGTGATGAGGCGGCGACCCCAGCGGAGTTCTGCAGGACTCTTCCCTGTGGCAGTGCAAGGTGTGGTGCGGTATACAAGAAGGAAATCTGCTAACCTGTGATGCCAGTTACCGTAAGTCAGTTTCTTCAGGGCATCCTTGGTGGTTCGCACCATTCGTTCTGCCAGTCCGTTGGATGATGGGTGGAAAGGAGGCAATGTTGCGTGCCAGATCAGATTGGCCTGAAGAAAAGCCTGGAACTCAGAAGAGGTAAATTGAGGGCCATTATCTGAAACCAGAACATCTGGAAGACCATGTGATGCAAAAATTCCTCTCAACACTTGGATGGTCTTGGCAGTAGTAGTGGAGGAAACAGGAACAACCTCTAGCCACTTGGAATGGCTAAACAACAACCAGGAAGAATTGCCCCTGAAAGGGCCCAGCGCAATCTATATGCACCCTAGACCATGGGAATTGAGTTTCCTCCCACCTATGTACTGGTGCCTGAGGCATTTCTGGCTGAGACTGTTGGCACACTTGGCACCCGTGCACCTGGGTCTCGATGGCTTTATCAAGTCCAGGCCACCAAAGATGGCTGCGCACAAGTGCTTTCATCCTGACTATACCAGAATGTCCCTCATGCAGAGAGATCAAGATTCTAGACCTCAATGAGGCAGGGATCACTACCCTGCTACTCCATAACAGGCAACCCTTGAAAGTGGAAAACTCATGCTTCTTGTGCCAGAAACTCTGGAACTCAGTATCAGGGCACTTGTCAGGCCATCCTGACAACACCCATGTCAGCACGCGTGTAAGCGTGTGATCAGTGGCAGTTTCAGCAACCACATCCCTAGCATTGAGGGGAGATTCAGGTAAATCCTGAATAGACAGGATATTAATGGCTGGATCTGGCTCTACTTGATTCAGAGGTAGTTTGCTCAGGCCATTTGCATGACCCATTTCTTTTCCTGGTTTGTGGACTAATGTGAAGTCGTATGTTGACAGGAAAATGAACCATCTCAGCATATGAGGAGAAATGATATGTGGGGTCTGTTTGTTAGTGGTAAACAAACCCAGCAGAAGCTTATGGTCAGTGAAGACCATGAATTGGCGGCCATATAAGAAATCATGAAATTTCTTAATGCCAGCCACTATGGCCAATGCTTCTTTGTCAATTTGAGCATAATTTCGCTCAGCAGAAGACAAAGTCCTCGAATAATAGGCCACAGGGACCTGTGTCCCATCAACCTTCAGATGGCTAAGTACAGCTCCCACCCCATAAGGAGATGCATCGCAGGCCATGCAAACAGGCAGTTGCTTATTGAAATGTGCTAACATAGCATTAGACGTGAGCAAGGCCTTAACCTCATTGAAACTGTTTTCATGGACTTTAGTCCACTGCGACAGAGCCTGCTTGTCTAAGAGCCTGTGTAATGGCTCTGCCACAGCAGCCTTATGAGGGAGAAAAGCATGGTAAAAATTTAATAGCCCCAAGAAGGCTTGCAGCTCACTCTTAGATTTAGGGCTTGGGGCCTGCTGGATGGCTTGCAATTTAGTTTTAGCAGGGTGAATGCCTTGAGCATCTATTCTGAATCCTAAGAAGTCAGTAGAAGTGACTCTTATCTTACATTTATCCTTCTTTAGTTTAAGGCCTGCTTTTTGAAAATGCAGCAAGACAGCCCTTAATCTCTCAGCTAAATTTTCAGATGACTCCCTAGGAAATAAAAATTCTGAAGAAATATAAATGGGACTAATGATAAATTAGCCAGCAGCAAATTTTCAAAGAAGCAAGTCAGGTAGAATGGGGATTCATAATAAAATTCTACATAATTTGACTGAAAGCTTTGAGATGGAAATTGTTGTGTCCTGAGCCTGCAAAGGCAGGCTCGGGACGTTGCAATGGTCCCGGGCAGCTTGCAACTGCCCGGGACCAGATTGAGTGGCACCGGCTTCGCGCGCATGCGTGAGGTGCGGAGCGCGCCTAAATGTTACCTTTTTGCCCAGGGATGCTATTAAAGGAGTCAGAGAGGCCTGCGAGCCTCAGAGCTGTGACAGAGAGAGAACTACCTTAAATAAAGGGCTGTTGGAATTACAGAATGTGCTGTATTCATTCGCTGTTGACTCAATGAGTCAAAACTGGCAACAAAGGTGGGATGGCTTACAAAAACAAAAAAGAAGAATTGTAAGCTTACCCAAGAGTCCTGGAGAGAGGAAGACGGCGTTAAACTCAGCACCTGGTCTGCCAGTACAGCGTCGCTGGAGGTAAGCTGGCTGATAGACCCCTTCCTAACAGAGAAGCAAGAATGGCAAAGATAGGGAGACTGTCTGAATTCGATGTCACGCACCCAGAAAGATGGGAGTCTTATGTTGCCAGAGTAGAAAATTACTTTAGAGTAAATCAAGTAAGAGAAAATGGCTTGAAGGCCGCTACTTTGCTGTATGTCTGTGGTCAAGATGCATTTGAAATTGCTAAAAATTTGGCAGCCCCTGCTCCTCTTGAATCTGTCACTTATACAGATTTTAAAAAATTATTGAAGGAACATTTTCAGCCCAAGTTGTCTGTTATTGTGTGGAGACACACTTTTGAACAGAGGGATCAAAGAGCTGGTGAATCAGTTAAAGAATACATTGCAGCCTTGAGAAGAGCAGCTAAGCATTGTGATTTTAAAGATTTAGAAGAAAGGTTGAGAGAGCAGTTTGTATATGGGCTTAGGAACAGAGACTTGCAACAGAGACTCTTTTCAAAGGAGGACATTTCATTCCAAGATGCCTTGAGAGAGGTCACTGCAGAAGAGGCAGCAGGTGGGGCAGTCAAGAACATGAGGTCTGTCAGGAACAACCCAGAAGCCATCTCCGTGCACCATGAGGGAGTCCAGGGAAGCTTGGAAGAAGATCCTGAAGATGAGCTGGATTATCTTTACCCAGCCAAAGAAAGAAAGCAGAAGGAAGGCAAAGAAAAGTCTTCAGCTATATCCAAGTGCTTCGGGTGTGGAGGTCGCCACAAGAGGACCGACTGCAGGTTCCGTTCTGCAATCTGTAGAGCATGTGGAAAGCAAGGCCACATAGCAGCTGTGTGTCTGGGCCATCAGAAGGTACAACCCCGAGAAGAATTGCACCTGAAAGGTACCAGGGTCCCCAGCCAAAACAGGGTGGGTTTCTGTGCATCATGTAGAAGCATTTATAGGACAGGCAGCACAGGCCACTTAAAAAGAAACTTTCACTTAAGGTGAAGTTGTAAGGAGTTCCATTGGTTATGGAACTGGACACTGGGTCTGCACTTTCAATTATTTCCATTCACACTTTCAGAAAGATTTGCTCCAGCAGTGGGTTCCAGGACAAGCTTAGGCCATCCAATATAGTCTTAACGGACTTCCAAAATTCCAAGATGTGTGTTAAGGGGGAGGCCACCCTTAATGTACAATACAAGGATTTTGAAGGTCCATTAGATGTATTGGTAGTTGGGGGTGAACGCACAAGTCTCATTGGACTCGATTGGTTTGAGGACTTGGGAATACAAGTTACAGGGCTTCACAATTTGCAAACATTAGGTCTACAGGAAGTCGGCAAAGAATTTGCAGATGTCTTCAGGCCCCAGCTGGAAGCATACAAAGGCCCCCCATTTTCCTTGAAACTGGACCCTACTGTCACTCCTATTAGAGTAAAAGCAAGGACAGTACCCTTTGCTTTGAAAGGGAAAATTGATGCTGAACTGGACAAATTGATTCAGCAAAGTGTCTTAGAACCTGTTGACTCAAGTCCATGGGAAACTCCCACAGTCACGCCTCTCAAGGCTAATGGGGACATTTGCATCTGTGCAGATTACAAATGCACTCTAAACAAGGCATTGCAACAGCATGCATATCCTGTACCTATGTCAGCCACATTTTGGCCTCCCTCAAAGGGGGGCATGTTTTTGCAAAGCTGGATTTAGCACAGGCTTATCAACAGTTACCTGTTGATGAAGTTGCTGCTGAAGCGCAGACTATTGTAACTCATAGGGGGGCATTCAAAGTCAAAAGACTACAATTTGGAGTAAATGTAGCTCCTGGAATTTTCCAAAGTGTAATGGAAAACACCCTGAGAGGTATACCAGGGGCATGCCCCTGTTTTGATGATGTCATAATAGCAGGAGAATCCACTCAAAATTTAGCTGAGAGACTGAGGGCTGTTCTGCTGCATTTCAGGAAAACAGGCCTCAAGCTTTAAAAAGATAAATGCAAAATTGGAGTGTCTTCTACAGATTTCCTGGGATTCAGAATAGATGCCAAGGGCATTCACCCTGCTGAGTCTAAATTAAAGGCTATACTGCAAGCTCCTAGGCCTAAATCTAAAGCTGAATTACAAGCTTTTCTGGGCCTCTTGAACTTTTACAATGCATTCATACCTAACAAAGCTAATGTAGCTGAGCCACTTCATAGACTCTTAGACAAACAGGCAGTGTGGCAGTGGTCACAGGCACAGGAAGAAAGCTTCAATGAGGTCAAGGCCTTACTTACATCAAATGATGTGCTTGCACATTTTAATGAAACTCTTCCTGTGTGCATCGCTTGTGATGCTTCCCCTTATGGGGTGGGAGCTGTACTCAGCCACTTAAGACCTGATGGAACTCAGGTTCCTGTTGCATATTACTCCAGAACCTTGTCTTCTGCTGAGTGAAACTACGCTCAGATAGATAGAGAAGCCTTGGCCATTGTTGCTGGAATTAAAAAATTCCATGATTTTCTATATGGCAGACACTTCACGGTCTACACTGACCATAAGCCTCTGTTGGGGTTGTTTACTACGAACAAACAAACTCCCCATATCATCTTCCCTCGAATGCTGAGATGGTCTATCTTTCTGTCAGCCTATGACTTTTCCTTAGTTCACAAACCTGGCAAGGAAATGGGCCACGCTGATGGCCTTAGTTGATTACCTTTACAAATGGTAGAGGCTGCCCCTGCCATCAACATTCTTTCCATTCAGGCGTTGCCTGAGTTGCCCTTAAATGCCAGGGATGTGGCTGCTGAATCAGCCATGGATCTCACACTCACTCGTGTATTGTCCTGGGTTTTGTCTGGATGGCCTGAGAGTTGTCCAGGTACTGAGTTTCAGAGTTTCTGGCTCAAGAAGCATGAGTTATCCACTTTTCAGGGTTGTCTGTTGTGGGGCAGCAGAGTTGTTATTCCTATCTCAATGAGACCTAGGGTCTTGGCTTCCCTTCATGAGAGCCATCCTGGCATTGTCAGGATGAAGGCGCTTGCGCACAGCCATTTATGGTGGCCAGGGTTAGACAGGGAGATAGAGGCTCAAGTGCATGGATGCCACTTGTGTCAGCACTCACGCCCGGAAATGCCTCAGGCTCCTGTACATAGATGGGAGGAAACACAGTCACCTTGGTCTAGGGTGCACGTAGATTACACTGGGCCCTTTCAGGGTCAATTCTTCTTGGTCCTTGTTGACAGCTATTCAAAGTGGCTTGAGGTTGTACCTGTCTCTTCCACCACTGCTGCCAAGACCATTCAAGTACTGAGAGGGATTTTTGCTGCACATGGGCTCCCAGATGTCCTGGTGTCTGACAATGGTCCTCAATTCACTTCTTTCGAGTTTCAGGCTTTCTTGCAGGCCAACATGATTCGTCATGCCACCTCTGCACCATTCCACCCTTCTACCAACAGTATGGCTGAATGGATAGTCCGCATCACCAAGGATGCTTTAAAGAAACTGACCTACGGGGACTGGCACCACAGGTTGGCAGACTTTCTTCTTGCTTACCGCACCACACCTTCAACTTCCACTGGGAAGAGCCCAGCTGAACTCCGTTGGGGGCACAAACTGATCACCAAACTTGACAGGTTGCACCCAGACAGACTGCCTCCTAAGGTCACCCAAACCAGGGCCCCGCGGTGTCTGCAAGTGGGACCCGGAACTACGGGGCTGGTCAGAGCTGTGATGGAGAGAGAACTACCTTAAATAAAGGGCTGTTGGAATTACAGAATGTGCTGTATTCATTCGCCGTTGACTCGAGGACTCAACAGAAACTGTTGCAGTTAAGACTGAATTGGGGACCAAAAACTAAAAGACTTCACCTGTTAATATTACATAATTTAATAGCAAGTGAGAATGAGATATTTCTGTTACAGCTGGAGGATTTAATGTTTGCATTGGCCTTTGGGCCTGAGCAATGTTGGGGGAAAACATTGAAAAGGGAATTCCTGAATTTCCATCCTATTTGTGACTTACAGTACAAGTTTTCACTCCAGTCTCAAGATGAGGTTTGTTTTCTCTACTCAAGCAGGATACTAGAGTATTTCAGGCTCCAAAATGTATTCTAGCTTTGCAAAGCCAGGTCAAGCAAACATAGATATGTTCAGCAACATTCTATAGGCAAAAGCCCTAAAGGCAAATCAATGTATAGGAAAAACAAAGGTCATCAATGTCTAGGGATATGATTACTACAAGAAAACTCAAAGTCAAAGGTAAGTGGGTCTGATTTGTGTTATGAAATACCTTTGAATAACAGTCAAGCTCACTTCTTCCATGTGGTTCTGACAGAGTATACAATGAAAAACTACTTCCTCTGTAGATGCATATTTCCTATTAAAGTTTGTACTCTATGTCTAGGAGCTCCAATCTATAATACCTATTAATATTAAAATTGCTTAAGATTTTCTACTGCACAGCCTTCATGAGTCTGACGTGCCCGGTAAGTTGAGAGCTAAAAGTGGACCCTTAGATATTTAAGTCTTTACCTTGTTCTCGCATGGAAGCAGGTGACTGTCCATTTATGCTGAGAGTTTCTTAGTAGAAGCAGTTTTGTTTTAAGCTGTGCAGAGGTGATCACATTTCTCTACCTCTACCTCTCTATATAGTTTAGTCAGCTAACATTAACCTTCACAAAACTCAGCTTACTTCTATCTGCATTTCTAACAAATAAAGCTATTTTTTTAAAAAAAAAATCCTACTTATTGTGGCATCCTTCACTTAATTTTCTTCACACAATATTCAGAAATGATAAATCTTGATCTGTCTCTTTCTCATTAAGACACTCAAAATACAGTACATCTTGTATTACTATAATCCCACGTGACTCAAAGATGATAGTAAGACACAATTGAAAAGTAAATCAGGTTTTGGATGTTTAATTCTAAATACATTACTGTAGCTCTTAAATTATTGGTAAATTAGTGTAATGATCTGTCTCAGGATTTATGTGTAGTTCCATTTTTAAATCTGTAAATTACAGAATATATGCATGCACCTGTCATCTGCAGAGAATAGGATCTACAGACATGCTAAAGAATTGTCTCCCAGATGTTCCTTTACATTTTACAGATGGCAGATAAGACTAAATTTTGTCCATGTGACCTTGGAGATGTGTTTGATTATCAACCTCTGGGACAAGAAGTGTCAATTGAGCATATTAAGGCCTATGTGAAGAAGCCCTCTTCCCAGACTGATGCAGCTGTAATTGTGATTCATGATATATTTGGATGGCAACTCCCAAATACTAGATATATTGCTGATTTGGTTGCTTCCAATGGATACATGTAAGAAATGAACTTTATTTTTTCTTCATCATATTCTTTTTTCCTTTATGTAGTTGTGATTCTTAAATCAAGGTGCCTCCTAATTTATCCATTTATATGTAGTTTGTATGTCCAAGCTGATATATATATATATATATATGTAATGGAAAAGATATGTAGAATTATTGCACACCATATGAAATACAACACAATAACAATAATTTGTATATTAATTTACCTGGAGCTGATTTACTTGGTGATTAATAATAATAATAATAATAATAATAATCCCCCAGTGAGGCACTACCTTGACGTGGTTGTGGGGCTTGTGTACTCTGAGGAAGATGAGAGCTATGCCAGAGGTTCAACCATACTGGACAGGTCTCATCAGAGGAGTCAGACAAAGAGTGTCTCTCCCATAAAAAAATATGGTGAGACGTAAATTTCAGAATGCCATACCGGCTCGGACGTCGCCCAGGTTAACAAGGTCCGCACTAGATATTGGAGTTCCTGGATATCTGGTGAAAAATGGGTTACAGGACTCAGGACTGTTGGCTGAGCAACCAGGGCCAGCAGCTGCAGAACTACTGGAAGAAAAGGTGTTTACCCGTCGCAGATACACAGTGATGGAAAAACAAAGAAATAATGATCTGTTACTACAGATCAAGTCCAACAAGACGAGGATATCTAAAACAATGCACCAATTCTGGAAAGAACAACATCCAGAATCAGAAATAACAGAACAGAGACTAGCAGATCAACGCCGATTTATAACACGAAATAAAAGTATTTACAGAAACAGAATTGGACGAACTGCAAAGGTTTACCCAGGGCAAAGAAATCAAAGCCTTACCAGAAGTAATTCAGAATGTAGAGGCAAACCAGGGGGAGTTGGCAGTGAAAGAATCCAGTAGAGATATACAACTGTTCTCATTTGGAAACCAGGCACCTCTTCCTCAGGAAGAACAAAACCCTCTAACTAAAGAAATAAAAGAATTGAAACAAAGAATAACTGAGCATCTAGAACAGCACAAAAACAACAGAATAAGGCTGCCTGCATTGAAGCTTGTTCCAAAGAAACAGCTAGCACAAGCATTAAAAGATGCAAATACTGCAATATCAAGTATAAGCACCAATTCACTGCAAGAAACAAACCAACTAATGTACAGCACAGCTGCAGTTATAACAGAATACCTGGGATGTAAAATCAACAAAAAAGAAAAACAAACAAACAGTGCACCACAAAAATGGAAGGTTAGACTAGAAAATAAGATCAGCAAGTTAAGATCACATGCAAGCAAGCTAGAACAGATGAAAGAAAAGAAGCTGAAGAACAAGAAGACCAAAGAATACCTAATCAAGAATACCCTTAGGAAAAACAAGTAAGATCAAGGCAGCCCTGGAAATAATAAAGTCAACAAATAACAGCTATAGTCCAGGAAAATCAGTAGAGATATAGAAGCTCGATTGCAAACCTATAGGCAGAACCTCCAATTTCAATCCAATCAGAAACGTTTCTACGCATCCATGCCAATGGAGGAACTGCAGGAATCAGTTCATTACTTACAAGGAAGAAACAGTGCAATTTGGAAGCATATGGTATACCAAGAAAATACAACAAGGCTGCAGCTTGGTTAAAAGAGGTGGATGCAAATAAAACAGAAGTTGAAATGAAAGAACTAGTAATAACAACAAAAATGGTAGAAAAAAGAGCAAAGAAAATCAAAAATTGGTCAGCACCAGGTGAAGATGAACTGCATGGGTTTTGGTTGAAACATCTAACTGTTATACACCCACTCATTGCCAAGCAGTTCAACAATATACTACAAGGAGGAGAAATTGAAAAGTGGCTAACAACTGGGAAAACCTACCTAATAATGAAAAATCCAGCAAAAGGGGCAACACCAGGTAACTACAGGCCAATTACCTGCTTACCAACAACTTTCAAATTACTAACTGGTGTGGTAGCTGATGCAGTACAACAGCATCTAGTTGAAAACAATCTCTTTCCACCTGAGCAGAAAGGAAACCGCCCCAATAGCAGAGGAACAAAAGATCAACTCCTAATAGACAAAATGATCTTGGAAAACTGCAAGAGAAGGAAGACCAACCTGAATGTGGCATGGATTGACTACAAAAAGGCATTTGACTCTCTGCCACATGATTGGATAATCAAGTGCCTAGAAATAACAGGAGTCAGTAGAAACATCAGAAAATTTGTGCAAAGATCGATGGCACAATGGAAGACACAGTTGCAGATCAATGGTGAGAGGCTGGGAGAGGTTAATATCAAGAGAGGAATATTTCAAGGAGATTCATTATCACCATTACTATTTGTTATTGCACTGTTTCCTCTGTCAACACTACTGAATACCTCAGGACATGGTTATCAAACATCAAAAACATCTGCTAGACTATCCCACCTCCTTTACATGGATGATCTGAAGCTGTATGGAAAAACATCATCTGAAATAGAATCGCTGCTCAACACTGTCCGTATATATAGCCAAGATATTGTAATGGAGTTTGGCTTGGACAAATGTGCCACACTTACTATCAAACAAGGAAAAATAATGAAAACTGAAGGAATCAAGATGCCCCACGAAAATAACATTAAGAGTCTGGATGAGGAAGAGTACTACAAAGACTTGGGTATCCTTCAAGCTGACAACATCAAGCACACTGAAGTCAAGAAAAAGATTAGAGGTGAATACATCAAGAGAGTGAAGAAGATCTTAAAATCCAAACTCAATGGAGGAAATACCATAAAGGCAATCAACACCTGGGCAATCCCAGTCATTAGGTACACAGCTGGAATAGTGGACTGGACTCAAGCAGAACTAAAAGCAATGGATAGGCAGACCAGAAAAATAATGACAATGAATCATGCCCTTCATCCACGCAGTGACATTGATAGACTTTATCTACCAAGGCAAATAGGTGGGCGTGGAATGCTACAAGTACATCAGATGGTTGAAGAAGAAAAAATGGCTTTGGAAGAATATCTGAAGAACAATGATGAAGATGCACTGAAATTAGTATATCAGGAAGGCTTACTAACTACTGGAGAGACCAAACTGGCCTACAAGAAAGACCAAATGAAGAACAGAATAGAGGCATGGGAAGACAAAGCACTACATGGCCATACATGAAAAAAATAGCTGGGAAAGCAGATAATAATAAAACCTGGCAATGGCTAAGAGCAGGAAAATTGAAGAAAGAGACCGAGGGACTAATTCTGGCTGCACAAGACCAAGCCTTAAGGACAAATGCATACAAAGTCAAAATTGAGAAGACAGCAACAGACAGTAAGTGCCGCCTATGCAAAGAAGCTGAAGAAACAGTGGACCACTTGGTAAGCTGTTGCAAGAAGATTGCACAGACTGATTACAAGCAGCGGCATGACAAAGTAGCAACAATGGTGCATTGGAAGATCTGCAAAAAATATCATTTGCCTGTAAGCAAAAACTGGTGGGATCATAAAATAGAGAAAGTCATAGAAAATGATAAAATTAAACTGCTCTGGGACTTCAGAATTCAAACAGACAAGCACCTGCAACATAACACCCCAGACTTAACAATTGTCGATAAGAAAGACAAAAAAGTCTGGATAGTGGACGTGGCAGTGCCTGGAGATAGCAGAATAGAAGAGAAAGAACTGGAGAAGATAACAAAATACAAAGACCTACAAATAGAAATAGAAAGACTGTGGCAAAAGCAAGCAAGGGTAGTACCAATAGTAATAGGCTCCTTGGGTGCAATCCAAAACAACTGGAGCACCACTTGAACACCATTGGCATTGACAAATTCGCTATTAGTCAATTGCAAAAGGCGGCCTTATTAGGAACTGCTTCCATCCTGCGACGATATCTGTAATACCATCAAACATCCACATCTGCCTATCCCAGGTCCTGGGTAAGGACTCGATAGGTAGACAAAATGCCAAATCCAGTCTGAACATCTGGCTGACTGTGCGATGATCCATAATAATAATAATAATAATAATAATAATAATAATAATAATAATAATAATAAAGAAAAAATGGCTTTGGAAGAATATCTGAAGAACAATGATGAAGATGCACTGAAATTAGTATATCAGGAAGGCTTACTAACTACTGGAGAGACCAAAATGGCCTACAAGAAAGACCAAATGAAGAACAGAATAGAGGCATGGGAAGACAAAGCACTACATGGCCAATACATGAAAAAAAATAGCTGGGAAAGCAGATAATAATAAAACCTGGCAATGGCTAAGAGCAGGAAAATTGAAGAAAGAGACCGAGGGACTAATTCTGGCTGCACAAGACCAAGCCTTAAGGACAAATGCATACAAAGTCAAAATTGAGAAGACAGCAACAGACAGTAAGTGCCGCCTATGCAAAGAAGCTGAAGAAACAGTGGACCACTTGGTAAGCTGTTGCAAGAAGATTGCACAAACTGATTACAAGCAGCGGCATGACAAAGTAGCAACAATGGTGCATTGGAAGATCTGCAAAAAATATCATTTGCCTGTAAGCAAAAACTGGTGGGATCATAAAATAGAGAAAGTCATAGAAAATGATAAAATTAAACTGCTCTGGGACTTCAGAATTCAAACAGACAAGCACCTGCAACATAACACCCCAGACTTAACAATTGTCGATAAGAAAGACAAAAAAGTCTGGATAGTGGACGTGGCAGTGCCTGGAGATAGCAGAATAGAAGAGAAAGAACTGGAGAAGATAACAAAATACAAAGACCTACAAATAGAAATAAAAAGACTGTGGCAAAAGCAAGCAAGGGTAGTACCAATAGTCATAGGCTCCTTGGGTGCAATCCCAAAACAACTGGAATCCCAAAACAACTGGAGCACCACTTGAAACCATTGGCATTGACAAATTTGCTATTAGTCAATTGCAAAAGGCGGCCTTATTAGGAACTGCTTCCATCCTGCGACGATACCTGTAATACCATCAAACATCCACATCTGCCTATCCCAGGTCCTGGGTAAGGACTCGATAGGTAGACAAAATGTCAAATCCAGTC